CATCTCTTAAGTATCATTTCCTCTAAAGGCTCCCTTTTCAGCAAGGGTGTGGGAAGTGATTCTGTTTGTAGCACACAGCCAAAGCAGTGAAATGAACACAAGTGTTCTGCCACCTCAAGAGAAGGGAATTTAAACATGCATACTTCTTGGACAACTTCTTGACAAACTTTTAAATTATCTCTATTTTTTAATCTTTCAGTTTAATCCGTTAATATCAGTACACACTCATGTGATAACACATTTAACTTTCTCATTTTTCAGTAAGGAATAATTGCAGGAGCTCTGGTTAAGAGGAAGCACAATAATTACACTGATTACTTGGTGAATTTGAAGAGTCTCTGGAGCTGCAGCAGACTGTAATATTGTGAGGGGAGTTTTTAGATCTTACAATTATGGGCATTATTCACAAAAGGAAGTAATAGATTTCCAGACTGTTGGCAGAGAGAGGCAGTTTGATATAAAAGTAAAATAAAAGTTATTTTAATTCATTAGGATATATTGCAAAGAAAAATAATAAAAATCAATAGTCCTATAAAAGAAACACGTTTTAATAAATGGGTACAAGCTGAATAAGAGGGAAAGTAATGACTTGGTCAAACCTCAGAGGGAAGCAACGCCAGTGTCATACACCTCAAAGAATTCATGGACAGATCTGACATATGGGTGCTTTCTTTACAGAAAGCCTCTGTTTGGAGTGCAAGTCATTCTAGCTAATGGATAAGTAATGTTCATTGACAATCACATTAGCCCTTTTTGCTATTTTAGTCAAATAAGGCTAACCATTTAGCATGCCTAATTTATATAGCTATGAGGGTGGGTTATCAGTACAGATGTACTGAAGCATAAAAGACTTAGGAACATTGACCTATCTGTCAAATTTGATCAAGCCCAATGAAATTCAATTTGTTAATCTTGCTTCACAATCCTACCCTCATGCACTCTAAACACCAATACATTTTGTATTGCGCTGAGATGCACAGTCTACAGTGAGACTTTTTATTTGGATTAATCAGAATCATGTATGAGCTATGTTAACATTTGGACTAAGGACATAACTTTTAAAATTAGAAGGCTAAAAGTAGGACCGCAAAACTGTCAATATTTGTAATATGTATTTACATGCTCAGTTCCTACCTTACAGGACAAGACCACAATCTAATATTTTAATAGTAACTACAGCTAATAAAAGACATCAGGACCGTTTTCTCATTAAACAGAGAGAATGCTGGGTTTGCATGCGTATATATACACATCTACTCAAGTTTAAAAAATAACCAATGCCAAGTTACACATCTCTGGACTTCTCACTTCTCTAAAAGAGTGATTAATGCTCATTTTGTGCCTAAAGCAAAGTATCTGAGGCCAAGAGAAGAACATAGTTCTCCTAGTACCCACTCAGGCCCCATTCCAAAGGAAACACCTTTTTCATCAGCTACTTAAGTTTCCAACAGGCATGAAGTTTAGCCTTAGTCTTTGAATCCAGTGCTGCCTAGAGATAACCACAGAATCTGGATACAGTGAACCAAAATACAACAAGCTCTGAAGAGTTGATTTTTTTACTGTTACCAGTCTACTCTAAGAGCAGCTACATTTGCACAGTTGATTTTTCCAATATTTGCATAATACAGTATATATAAATGTGCAGTTAAAAGACTCAGTTCTGTTTTGTTTCATGACAGTTCTCCAGCCCTCCTCCTGGAGTTTCCCACCTTATTTGTTCTCTCGCCATACGGGACAAGAGAACATTCCCATTTTCCAGTCCCTGGTCAAATTGCATACAGAAGCTTACTAGATTGAATTACAGAGAATCAAACTCGAATAATTACTATGTTCCTCAATTTGAGAAGAATTGGGATAATAACTGTATCCAAATGGCTCCAGCAGATATATCTGGTCCTTCAATCATACCAGAATATTCAAGAAACAGTTCTGGAACACACAGAACATTAGCTAGAGGAGAACAACCAGAATAGACTTAACTCAATCTGTCTTCAAATGTCTTATCTATTTCCAGTAATGGAAAATAAAAAATAAATAAATAAATAAGGTAAACAGCCTACACACCCAACTGAACTTTTATTTTATGTTATAACTAAAAATAAGTAAAGGAATAAAGCACTATTTTTTTTATTGATACAGGTAGATACAATTCCAAAATCATATGGGAAGTATTCAATTAACATTGATGAGACTTGACAGTTGCATTGTCTAGGAAATATCTTGGTTCTTTTACCATTAGATATCTTTACGTAAGCCTGTTTTCCTTTTCCATATTATATTGAATATCAGTGGACATTATACTAAAAATGTAATGTGAAATCATAAATTCAACTCTCTCGAAGCGGCAGCCAATTTGCTCGTGACCTATCCATGCACTGTGGAAACAAACTCTACATACCACTAGCATGCCTGAATGTCTTTGATTTAGAGCTTGGGCACCAACACCACTACAAAACAGCTGTGAATGGGACGTGCAATCTGCTGATTCACACAGAATATTTCTTCCATATTTTGCTTTGCTTCTCTGTATCACTGTCTCTGCTATCATGGCAACTAAGTGAGGAAGTAAAAGTTGATGTTGTTTGGGATCCTGGAACTGCTTGACTGTATTCCTTATTTATCAAGATTGAACCCTAAAATGTTATGAGCACAAACAATCTGAAAAGGGAGTAGGGAAAAGGAAAAGAATATCAAAACAAAAAAAAAAAAATCAAACTTTGCTTCCAACCTCAATTATTTTTCTAGCATAAAACTAGAAGTAGTATGTGATTTTCTTAGGCAGTCATATATTGCCATTTAATCAGTTTTGCCACATATTACAAGGCTATCTTTCCATACCATGGAAAAAATACCCAACACTAAACACCTACAGTCTTTCCCAGAACTAGACTCACCTCAGAGCTTCCATTCATGGCAATGCTACTGAGTAGCAATATTATGCTCTCAGTGGAAAAACCATACAACCTGTAAGTCTGCAGAACTTTCGTGAAGGGAATATGAAATGGCATCTTCACGTAAAACTAGATTTTTTTCTAAACAAAACATAGCACTGCTCAGATAAGCAAGGCGATAGACCTGTTTGTTGAATACATGGTCTTTTATTGCTCATAAGAGGAGATACTGAACAATTTGAGGTATGTTGGAAGCACGATCTATTAGCAGAAAAGATTGAAGCAGATGAAATCCTATGGAATGACAAACCTGAAAATCCTCAAAATCAAGTTTTCTAACCCTTTCCTTCAAATGAAAACATACCACAAAGCTCTGACAACTCCTGGAAGAAAGTGAGTGCCTAATCTGAAAATCAATTTAAATAGAATATGTCCATTTTTCTTTCTCTTGATTTTTCTGAAGAAAGGAATCATCACTGCATCCATGATATCACCAATGTGTGCTGGGCTGTGTATAGATCATCACAGAAGAGAGATATTGAGTTAAAATTTCCAGATGTATGCAGGTGATTTATGAGCACAGGTTCTATAGCATAATTAAAGGGACATGGGCTTTTATTATTACTTTGGCTGTTCTATAGCACTAGCCAGGATCATAACCCAAGGTTTGCAATGGCTAAGAAATTATTTCAGTTCCCTAGTTTATGAATTATGGTTTGGAAATTGCTTTTCTTGTTCTCTCTTTACACATGTGAGGGAAGTCCGATGCCTCTCTGTCTTTCTGTTTATGTGTTTTGTAAGAGGTGAAAAAATAAAATCCCAATTAACTTCTGTTAGCTAAAATCTTGTTTGAATAAGGTTTTGCATTCAGCAAAAAGAGAAGGTAATGTGTATCTAAATGTTCCTATTTGCCTGGAACTCATTCCATTTGTGTGAAAAGTTGTTTGTAGAGTTATACCTAGCACATATTCACATTTACATTTCTGTCTATCTTAGCAGTCTGTTAAAGCTTGCACATTTAGAATAAAGTGAAGACTCATATGTGGATGAGAAAAAAATTATGTAGAGATTCTTTAAACTAAAAATCCTGGATGATGGCTTCCTGCCTAATCATGGCTAGTCTGATGGTAATATTTGAAGCTCCATATTAGTCTCTGGATAGAAAGCTTTACAAGAAGAGCAGGAAGCAGCACAACTGCAGCAAGAAAAAGCTGATGTCATCTTCATCATTTGGGAAAAAAAAGAAGATGAAGGCACTTCATGGGTGTCACTATTTAAATTTATAAAGCTTTAGTGAATACTTTCTCATTGTGCACAAGTGAGATCATGGCCCTACCCAGATACTTCTTTTAGGAGCTCATACTGAATGTTGTGTGAGCACAAACCCCAAGGCTACAGAGTCCTAACCATATAAATTACCTTCTCTTCTTGGATGCTGTAATGTTGAGAGAAAATTTTTTAATTGCCTTACCATGAGAGCACCAAAAGACAGCAAATTCTATCTTGCATCATATGCCTTTCTAGTGGACAGCTGTGTAAAAAGAAATTCATAACTCCACATATGGATGTAAATGTCCACAAAAAGATATGCACTCATTAGGCTGTGAAGGTAATTAATAGCTAAGCTATTTTAAATATATACATCATAAATAAAGAAAATTATGTATATATTTTTACATATACATATTTATGTATATCTGTATGTGTGTGCGTGTAAAATACAGATATATACTATCCACCTAACTGGAAGCCTTGGTGAGAACTTTTTTCAAAGATGCACTGAAACAAAAAACTAATGTATAAAATATGGGATGTTACCACATGAATTAGGATGTGTTTAATGTACCATATAGCATTAGAGCAAAGTAAATCTCTCTTACTTCAATATTCACATGTCTGAGGTGGAATTGCAAGTTTTCTTCCTTTATTTTACCTTAAATTTTCTTCACATAACTGTTGAACCAGAGAAGTCTCTGTGTCACAGAGAACTTGATAAATTGAGAATAATAATTAAAAAGTAAAAAACCAAATAGGAAAATTTCAGGAGGGAAAAAGACAAACATAGTTAAATCTCAAAATAGTCTGGTATAAAATAAAGCATTATTATACCTGCAATGATGTCATCCATCTGCTCCAAAGCTGCTTCCAGCATATGACTAGCATCAGAAGCCATCATCTGTGATTTCTTCAGACCTTTACTCTTTCTACTGAAAAGACAGATGAAACCATGTGCATTACACTGAACCAGACCCGACAGAAAAATATGTCACTGTTACATTATAGTTTAAGGCACACAAGCAAAAGTCCACACTAGCAAAAATACAGCCTAGTAATATGAAAACTAAGAAAATTATTCCTATTCTTGATAGATGACTTGGAATTTCTGAGATTTTAATTCATCATTGATGTTTTTTTAAAGATATTTTACTAAAACAAGGAAATGGAGATTGAAACAAAACCAATGAATCTCAAATACTGGAAGCTTGAAAATTCCCCTACTCCTCACCCTTAACAACGGTTTCCTAGATTCAAAGTTCAGTGCATTTCAACCTTTTGAACTGTGGGGGAAAAGAGGATTGACTAGGTTTCAATGAAGGAATGAGCACATGGTGAACAACACATTTAACCTATAAGCAGAACTCTGTAGGACCTCTGCTTTTTGATTGCTGCATTAAGAGTAAAGACAAATCTGAAATATTTTTTACTGCTCCTTTCTATATTCCCATTCAATCTTTCTATCACTTCTTTCATGACACTGAAAATACAGTTCTTTCTGTTCCAGTAACCAAAATGCTTCAAGTATGAAGTTTCTGAAGTTACTGCTGTCTCTTTAAAACAGGATTAAAGACATTCATGTTACCATATGACATTAAGGATAACAAACAAAATGTTCCAAAATTAGTCTCCACTTGTGTGTTGGTGTTGCTGGACTTTTAGTCAAGTAGCAGTCACAATTGTCAATAGATGACATTTCAAAAGGGAAAAGAATTTACGCTGTCTATTTCACTGCCATTGAGAAAATTCTCCCTGAAATAAGGCCCTTTTGCACATTGCTTCATTGCTGAAGCATGAAACCAATGCCCACACAGCAATGAACAGGGATTGTACTTATGCATAATTTTTGCTGTGTTCTAATACACAATTCAAAATACTAACAAAGCCTTTAAAGGGTCACAGAATTTTGATTTCTCTTTCATGAATGGTGCAGTTCAGTCTTTTGACATTCCGTCTTCTGATACATCAAGTTCTGTGATTCAAAGCTGTTCAATTTTAACAGCTTTCTAAGGACCACAGAAGACACCTGTCTGACAATGGCTAGAGATAGCCTTCAAATGATGCAGGTTGTAGAAAAGTGTATAGGTAACGGTCATATATTTGTGGAGTCGATTATTCCAAAGCCCCTGAAATGTCACTAATCTGTATTTATCAGTCTATTACCTATGCTAAGAATTAAATTATTTTGAATTTAAATAAATATTACAATAGTGTCTAATGGCAATTCACAAAGATGAAAATATTTTTGTACTGTGTTCATCCAGTGACTGGCCACCATGACCAATTGCATGACTGGTGGTAAACCACCCCCACTTACTCTCTCAGTTGGAGCCTGCCTAAACACTAGAATGGAGAATCAGCAGTCAGAGGATAAAGTCATCTTTAAAATAAAAGCTTACCCATTTTTTCTTTCAGAGGCACCGTCGGGAGGGAAAAAAAAATCCCTAAATGTACACTTAAGGCTGAGTCCAAATTATTGCATCATAAGAAATACTCAATCTCAGTAATAAGCCCAGTCCAACAGAAAATTTTACTAACAAGTAAAAATTATTTGCTTCTTTTACAAACTAAGAATCCCAAGATGCAGGCTTTTCCCCATGGTGCTGGTGAAATACACACAAAGAAAGCTAATTTATTAATAAACTACTGTGTTATCAGCAAGGTGTATGCCCTATGTCTATTCTAGTCAATGCATACAAGACCACTATCTAGAGGGACAGATGCTGGAATAAGAGTCAGAAACGACTAATGATCTAATTTGAGCTCTGCCATTTATAGTTTCTTATAATGGGTAAGCTATTATTTAACTTCAGATCAAATTGATCTCAAGAGAAATATGAGAATGCCTTATCAGACAATGGAAGAAAAATCTTTAGTGTCACCCAAGGCAAAAATGAATATAAATGAATGGTTGGTTTTGGTCTCTCCATTTTGGCAAAATAATAATTTAAGTATGAACAATGCTAAATGTAACTGAATTCCACCAAAATGCATCCAATCCAAATACTTCATTTAATGGTATTGGAAATAACACAAATTATGCTCTGAATAATCTGGAAAGTCATTAAGTCAGCTGGCATAAACTCAAAATTTCAGAATGCTTACACGTGAACTTTACAGACACTCCCTCTGATTCTGTTGCTTCAGTTTGTTGGTTTTGGTAGATTTCCATCTTCTGTTGTCACATTTACCTGCCAGTAGCTTAGAAGATTCAGTAAATGCTTTAGAGTTACCTGATTCTCAACTGTAATGAGCCTCCTTCCTTGCAATATTTCCCCTAGTTCAAAAGAACCGTAACATCTGTAATAATCACCTCAGTGAAAGGAAATCCACCTACAGTAAGCTGCTGCCAAAGAGGCACTTAGGCTACTTTGCTCCTTTGGCAGATGTGGCCACCAGCCACTCCCCCAGAAATCTATGGCCACTAGCTGTGTTAGTAAATCAGGACAATAGACTAGCTCAAAATTAGAAGGGGGGAAAAGTGAAAAATACTAAAAATAGCACAGAGTTTCTATTGCTAAATGGCAGTGCATGATCTTATTTGTGCTGTAAGCTACTGCTCTGAGTGTTTAAAGCAGCTAGAGTGATACACATTTGTTATTAAGAAATGCAAGATTACCGTTTCTTCTAAACATCAAATATAGTACTTGACCACCTGTAGTGAAAAAGGTACAGAAAATGCTGATACACTACATCACAAACTTGAAATTTTATTTCTAGAAAAACCCTCAATCAAGACCTTGGCACAAACCAGGAAGTTTTGCTGAAAAATACTACCAGAACTAAGTCTTCTATCTCCTCCCAGCCTCCACACTCTGCTTGTTTTCTCACCTGTATCCACAGTGTGTTTGCTGCTTAACTGCATTAAGCTAGAGTAAAACCTGCTGATCAGACGACTTATTTATAAAAGCATGTTCTTTGCTCCAGAGCAATAATGTAATATTACTTGCTTGACATCTTTTTCTAGACAGACCTGTTGCTTGTGCTTCAGGCAAGTCTTACTTTCCCAGACACTCCCTTCCTGCAGTTTGACTGTTCTAAGCAATATTATGAAAATAGCTTGTTAGATCTCATGTGCTTTCAGTTACCATTTCTGATCTAGTTCTATAGAAATATCTGCAATTGTGGATTCTTTTTTTATTTTTCTTAAGTAACAAGACAGCTGTATCAATCCCAAGGCGTGCCGTGTGCCTCAAACAGTATCCATCTATTTGCTGGTATTTTAATTGCAATTCCTTTTATGATTTTCATTCCTGAATGACATCAACAGATGCAGAACACCATGACTTATCTACCTATATAAAAATATACATATATTTTGAAAATTAAGTTTTTTTCAGCTTTGGTAAGGACTGAACAAAAACTATCTCTAACATTACAGTATAAGCTTTAATATTAGCAAATTCTGACCTTCAGGATTTAATAGATTAAATTATATACCAGCAAAATACAAGAACCGATCTACTCACCTTTTCAGGCCCCTAAGAAGAAAAGGATTTACTTTTTTGCCTGAGCAGTAAAAATTGCTCACTATTAATAGCCAAAGTTTTACTGTTAAGCAGATGTAGGTCTAAATTATTGCCATCCCTCCTAAGGCACACACTCATACTAATTTAGAGCCCAGCCCACAGATAAAGATATTGCAACCCTGTTTGTTATAATTACCTAAGTAATAAGATCTTCCAGGAAGTGCAGACAGAGCAAACTGGTCTGAATACCCTAAATTTATTTTGCTCAGCCAGCTTTACCCTGTAAATCCCAATCTGAGATTTGCATTTCAAATAACACAAAAAATCTCTGGTAGATCTACTGTGCTTAGAGACAATATCCCTTGCAAATTTCTTAACTTAATTTCTGTATGTAAAACTATAGCTTGCTGTGTCCAAAAAGAAGGTAATATTTAACAGGCATATTCACTATGAGCAAGATGTTCTTCAAAGTTATGAAAAGCCTTAACTAAATTTGAATCTTTCATGGCTGTCTTGAACCACCAGCTGTCCAGAGATAAGAATGTGAATATTTAGGCAACTCAAGTCAGACATTTTTTCAAGATTGCTCCTAATAATGAGGTTGCCAACTTCATCGGTTAAGGAGAGGGGTGTGGGTTTTGACAAGAACTCTTGAAATCCAGATCTTGCCTTATATCAATGCTTTGGATGGCCTATAAATTCCTCTTACATTTAGAAGACACAGCTAATAATTAGCTACCACCACCTTTTTTTCTGGAATGAATAAATACATGTTTGTAAGCTGTTTAAAGATTCAAATTCAAGTATCACATTGCTTTATACTTAATGGTGTAATGAAATATCAAGTGGCTTGGGAAAGCTTCAGAAGTCCTCCATGCTTTTTTCAGCTGCAAGATGACTCCTGAGCTGGAATGAACAAATGTGCACAATTTCCACCCCCACCATTTCCCACTTTGCTTCTCCCCCAGCCACATGCTGTACTGTATCCAGTCACCCCACAGGAACACAGCTGCTGATTCATCTCTCCAACCTGGCTCAGTAGTTCTCATGACACCATGAAATACAAAAGTTATAAATACATATTTGTATCCTGGCCTTTTAGAACCTGGCATACCTCTCTAATTAAGTTAATCCTTAGTCCTAAATAACCATCCACAGCTGCCAGGAACAGAAGAATTTCAGATGATCACTAGAATGACAGCCTAAGGAACACTATTTATACAGCATCCTCCAGGACTATCCAGCCAGAAACCCTATTCAGCTGATTATAGCTTAAATGTAATTTATTTGTTAATACAGACACTACTTGCTCTATTTCCTCTTCATATGCTTCACTGGAATAGGCAGAAGGGTAAACAGAACCCTACCTTCATTGACTACCCTGTATGTAATAAATAAAAACAAGACTATAGATGGTTTTTTTAAGAGTAAC